CACACACACACACACACACACACACACACACACACACACACACACACACACACACACGTCACTTGTTTTAAAAAATAATATATATATATATATTTGGAACAAGTTATCGTATGTATAATAAATTCTTCAACAATATAGATATTATGGGTATATCATAAATACTATATATGTAGTTCTCTCCTTCTTGTCAAATATCCACTCAGGCTTATTCAATTACTTTAGAATTTCAGTTGACAAGCCAAACTATCTTCTCTATTTCTATTGCACTAGTATTCTCTGTGATTCACTTACAGTTGTAGTGTGAGTTACCATTGTTTGGTCTTCTTTCTTTTGAAAATCCTCTGCTCCTTTTGTCAAAGTGCACTCAGGGGATTCAATTACTTTATAACCATGATTTGATGGAATAAAGCTATTTTTCTTATCTTCTTTTCTACTGTTAGTTTCACTCTAACATATTAAACCTTAGTCCTATCACTTCTACGGTAATTAACTTCACACCAACTTTATTCTCTCATGCTGTTATCTGTCTGCTGCTTCTCGCTCGTCTCATGCTATTTATATCTTTATCATTTAATCATCTGTCCTCCTTCTATATTCTCGATGTCAATCAATTGTTAACAAAACTTCCTAAAAATCTTCTTCAAATATTCTATTATTGTTTAGCTTCAAAAGCTAAACAATAATAGAATATTCACTCACAAAATAAATTATTCACTAATATCTAAACCAAACAGTCATTTATATCATGACAATTATCATGCTATAGTTCTGTATTCTATGTCAATGACATCTTTGGATCAAGTTATTACCAATAAACTTTCTTAGAAATAGCCCTGAAAATAATGGAGTACAATTATAAACTTTGTGGGCTCCTGTAAATCAAACACAAAGTAAGTCTTTTCATTTATTTAGTATTTGGAGTGGTCAGTTTTGAAAGTGAAATGAATAAATCTTTTAATGTTCATTTTGTTATTCTTAAAAGGTTTTGGTAATCATCAATTATTTAGATAAACTGAACAGTGAATTTGAGTAGTGGTAGGGGATAATTTGTAGTTGAAGATAAATACTCTATCTGTGGAAGTGGCTTAAATTTTCTAGAATGAAATTATTTACATAAATTTCAGATAATTATGAAGATATCCTCCCACTAAATGAACGGCTTACAGTGAAAGACATACAATGGTTGAAAGATTGGAAACCTAAATGTGTATCTCTAGCTCGATCTCCATCTCCTAGGCCTATGCCTCTCCCAGTGGAACCTATAGCACAGTGGCTTACTATAGGTATGTATGTATGTAAAGTAATGTATTTTGATTTTTTTTTTGTTAAAGAATATTTGTGTATAATACGATGAAACTTGGTTGTAGCTTTTAAACATTAAAGTTGAGTGTTTGAAATAACATGTTTTAATTTTTTTGTTAAGAAATATTTGTGTTTAGTATTATGAAACTTAGTATTGTAGCTTTTAAACATTAATATTTGAAAATTTCTGCTGCATAAAAATCAGACCTGATTAAGATTTTATTGATTTTTTGAACTGTTTAACACTATTTTGTGAATCATGTCTAAAAATCGTATTTATAAGACAGATATCCAACTTTATATTGTACAGGTGATTGTCATTTACAGTATCTGTACAAAAAATATTTAAAGTAAAGGTAACCCACTTACCTATCCTTTGATTGTTAACATGATGCTATGCCATCACTGAAGCACTGTCATTGTGGAGAGAAGTTTTCTGTTATTGCCTCAAAAAGTTTGAAATAGTGCTCTAAACTACCTTACCATGGCTTGGATATTACATAGCCTTTGAGTAAATATTTTTCAATTAATAATCAAGACAAATACTTTTCTACTATTTGATCCCATATATGTTTAAGCAATGTCTCAAACTTGTTTTCTCATCATTCTGTAAGCCCTGATGTGTCTGCATCAATAGTATTAGTACTTGCTCATCAATGAAATTATTATAACCAACAAAATTGATTAATCTATCATAATATAGTATCTATTGTATAATATATATCTGGAGAAATTTGTAATAATTGACAGAGGTGTTCAGGATTTCTCTTGATTTTATTTGATTTTATAAAGTCTGAGAAACTTAAGTTACAGATGTTTTTAATAGGACCACCTAACTGGTATAACAATATGAACCTAGAAATGTTTTTCACACTGTATCTTAATGTTGCACAGCTGCTTGTAAATGAGCATCATAAAACCAAAAGCTCACATTTGACTTAATATTCATCTCTACTCTGTAAAAAGAGGTTAATAACAATCATTACCAGCTAGTTGTTGTGGTGTAAAACTGAAAAAAAAGTTATTCTGATGGCTTACAAGTAATTTTTGCTGCTGGCAGTTGTGTAAGGACTGAAAAGTGATTATAATCATCTAGCTGTAACAAACCAAATAATATTACTAAAGTGACTACTTTGAAAAAGGGTAAGTCTAAAAAATACTTCATAAATATTTTATCTTTATGTCAATATTTGAGTCAATAATTTCAATTACTTAACATTATATTAGATTTAGCTTGTTGAAAAAACTTAAAATATGTTACATTGTTCTTAAGTGATAACTAACAGTTAAATGTAGATAAGTGTTTTGGTTACAAGAAATGTTAAACCTTTTATTACATAACTATTTTTTGTTTTAGTACCTGATGTTAGATTGGAATTATCAGATGATCGAATTGAGACATGCAGCATTTTGCCTATTCCGTTTCCTGGCAATGACATTTAATAAACTTTTCTTTGTAATTTCTAAAATCACTTCATTGTATTTAATGGTGTACTTCTTTTGTATAACATTTTTAATACTTCTGACTAGTTTTAAGTTAAAACATAAATTCATGCTGAACAGTGATCTATGTATAAATTTTGTAATGTGAAATGCTCCTTTTATTCTATTAGAACTAAATTCATTTTAGTTATACAGTGCATAAATATTATACTTTTCATTTTTAAATACTTATTTACTTAACTTTGTTTTTAATTCAAGGTTTTGTAATTTAAGCTGATTATCTGTAAACATGTCAGAATTTTTCCAGTCTTTTGCTGTTCTTTCTGTGTAATTGATTAACTAAAAGCATCTTATTTTCTTGAATATTTGTTTAAAATATGTGAAGTATATCATTTTGAATTTTTTTGTCACATTTGTCATTAAATTTTGAAAACCTTAAATGCAGTTCCATGAATATATTTGTCAAACATAAAAATGTTAGTTATTAAAACAACTAGTAAATGTAGAAGAGTGGTTTAATTTATTTATTGATTTCACTGTTTTGATTCACCAATTCTGAGAATAAATGAAGTAAACATTTGTGATACACAAGATAAATTATTTGTACCATATTCCATGTTTGTGTGGCTTCCACTGTTTTTTTTTTTGCATTTTTTAATCATAACTCTGAGCTTCTTATCACCATTTGATACCTCCTTTAACAAGATAAACAGTGTTTCATATGTCTGAGAACAGATCTGATTTTTTTTTTATTGCCATTAAAATTCCTTAATAGGTGTAATAGGATGGGATGCCACTTGTAAGTTTTCCAGAAATACTCGGTGCTTTCCTTGGAAACTTGTACCAAATAGTACTGTACCAAGCCTCGACCAAAAGTATTGACCCAAATTAAGTGCTTACTTTTCGAGAATGCCATACATGCAAAATTTATTGCTCTTCAATAAAACTTGCAAGTTAATAAGTGTGTTGTAATATATATTGGCAATAAAGGAAGTTAAGTATACAAAGAACTTCTAATTTCTGTTTAGATAAAGTTTTTCCATTATCAGTTATTGCAACTTAAAAATGATACAATGTGAAAATATTGTTAGTTAGCCTTATGAGTTTTGACTATAACATGCCAAAGACATGCTATTATCAGGGCTTCCATTTGCAAAACTTTGGTAACTTCCAATTTATTGAAAGCAATAAATTTTAATGGGAGTCTTTCAGGAGGTTTCATTTACCCCCCCCCCCTCAATTTTTTTTTAATAAGAATTTTCTTGATAGTAGTGATATAACAAAAAAGCCATTTTTCTAACTGTACTTTTATTCTATGTACATGTTTAAGGTGAAAGTAGAATTGTTAGTCATGAGAAGAGTACCAAAAGTTAAAGAAAAAGTTCATTTATTAAATAAAATTGTACATGCAAATCTAGGAAATAATGCAACCAAAACATTTCTGTGACCATATAGTAGAATATTAGTTTTATGCATATTATTTTTTGCACTGAATGTAAAATATGCATAAAAAAAACTTTGTACAATGTTTAAGAATTTTAGATTTTGGGTTAAATTTAGTTGCATTATAAAAAAAATACTGTGTATCAAATACTGCCATTTTCATTCACAATTATGATTCTGCTTTAAAAGTGGAAGACAGCAATTTACATTACTTCTTTACAGGCGGTACGTGTCCTTTAAAGCCAGTTGTGATGGGGAGACAAGATACTTCTGATTTTATTTTTTTGCTCATTGATACAGATAATGTTGTTAAAACATGAAATTCCTATCAGCAGTATTGCAATACTAATTATTTATTCAACTATAAACTATTCTAAAGAAACATTTCTTCCGTCACAAAATCTCTATTATGCAAGTTCTACAAAACACTCCAATGTATATTGTATGTGAATAAATATATTTTAAGTCAATTTTCATTCATTTACTTGACAGTTGGAGTTAATAAATAAGATTAAATGTCGTGTCTCTGGACATTAAACTCAGTTAAGTGGAATTTTGCTTATATAGAAAAAAAGGTAAATGGAAAGCAACTTAAAGTTAGCAATATTAAATTTAATATAATTAAAATTCACTAAAGCTTTTAAACTAATTTTAAATGTACTGTTTATTCCTCAGATTTAAACTAATACAATTTCAAAGACAAAACTGATGTTTTAATATATGTGGCAGATTTTACTCCTTTGTGATTCAAAAGCTATATATCTTCATTCAAATAAATTTTCAAAAAGTTTGGTACCAGTGTCTTACAGTTAATGTCCTTGTGAATGGGATGGAAGTCGTAAATTTGCATTTTCATCTTGGTCCTAAGGTTACATACTGCAGTGGCCATTTCATAGGGTTTATACTTTCTTGGCTGTGTTTCCCTATATGGGTGCCAAGAAGGCCCAGGGGTTAGTATGCTGAAATTCCTTAGTTTGTGCCCTGTTACTAATGCCAAAAACTAAAATCATGCTTAGCACTTTGGGGTATTAGGTAGGTGTGTCATGAGAGTGATAGTCAAATCCTACTATTCTGTCTGACAAGAGTAGCCTTAAGAGGTCATGGTGGGTGGTGTGTACCAGCTGCCTTCCATCTAGTCTGTCACTTGAAAACTAGGAATGGTTATTGCAGGTAGCTCTTGACTAGCTTTTTGCAAAATTCAACAAACAAACATGCCTATGAGTGTGGGTTCTACTCAAGTGAAGGAGTGTATAATGAGAATGATCATGGCATAGGCAATATAAGATTTTGGGGATACTGCTATGGCTGATATAGCATTGTATGATAAACACAATCTTTCTGGCTCTAGTCAAAAGAACATGCAACCCTTTCGGTTTTTGTGATGTAAAGAAATGTTATCTTCTGTCTGCTTCAGTAGCCAAATTATTCTAATGTTGCACTGAGACTACTTAGTATTATAGTAAAACACCAATACCTTTATTTTTTCTGTTTATAATAAAGATTTTGTTTTGCACAAGAAACTATTTTAATGTAACAATATGATCCTATATTAAGTAAAATGCAAAGAGTAAGTTTGTATTTATGCTAATGTCAAGGTTATATTTATGAAGTCACCATTGGGTGTATTTAATATGTTGTGTAAAATATCCAATGATATCACGTTAATGATGGTAAAATGTTCTTTTTCATATCTCTTTTTAAATTCCATTTTAGCTGTTTTAAATTCTTACGAGTGTTTTCCCTTTGTTGTTCATATTCATTTTATTCTTTTTTAAACAAATCTTCCTCCCATTGTTGTGATGCCTAGTGGCTGGAGCAGATGCACTGTTAAAGTGATATAAATACTATTTTCATTATAGAAGAACTTCAAGGCTGAAGGTAGCAGTGTACCTGTATTGTCCCAAAACCTTAGTTATACAAAAATACACATTTAGTTATCTATATATTTGTTTGTGTGATGATAAATATACTTCACACAAACTCATCTTCTCACTAAATGTGTTTCTACATAACATAAATTGCTTATCTTTGAATACATCTAGCCATACACAAATGTTGATTTAATCAACTTCTTGGCAGTGACATATGTCCAAGCAGCAGTAATGTTTGTTCTTTAAGTAAACTATATTTTATAAATTATACCAAAATTGAAGTAGTGCCAACTGTTACCAGTTATTGTGATTATGTTTATATACTCGTATATGGATAAGAATGCATATAAATGTACTTTTCCAAAATGTTTCACAGCAGGCTGCATGCAACAGAAACGTGATGAGGTAAAATTTATTAACATGGTTATCTACTAATAAATATAGTGTTAAACTTGTTTTATATTATCTTCATCTATCATGATACACTGAAATAGCTGTCACAACAGAAGCACATTACAATACAGAGAATTTAATGAACAACTTAAAAATCGTATTGCTTTTCACAAAAAGATGGGCAATCCTAACTTTATAGTTATAATTCTTGCTATATTTGGTACCATGCCACTATGAGATGCAATTATTCCTGCAATAGTCTTAGATACATCTAATGCTTTCACATACAAGACACTGAACATATCACTGCATAAATCTTGAGTGGTTCTCAAGTGATTACATATTGATATTCCCCTATTTATTTCCACCCGAGTGCTTGGAAAACAAAGATTGCGAAATCTTTTCAGTTCTGTGTTATACCATCACCATTTATCCTAATTGTAATTACAATTACTGTATGGCCTGTTCCTTTCAGATGTGCATATAGGCTGATCTAGCTTCTGGCCAAATCTATTTGTGGTGGTTGAGGTCTCTGCAAAATATAACATTGCATATCCATATGTAGAAGAGTTGTTGACCTCACCTATTGATTCTGCATTCATTAGTATTCATATGTTTCTACAAATAAAGAACAAAAGGAAAGTCTTTTAAGTATTGTTGATGTTACATCCATATGGTGGTAGAGAAGCTGACTACATCACTTTACCACTGTTTCACAATGGTGGTGAAGTGAAACAGGAAAACCTGCTGTGGTGTAAATGAATGATGAATTAGAATCTGGACCGTTTCCTAAGATATTTCAAGCAACTTGCTTTATGTAATGATTGTACTCAGGGATGGGTGGTGCATTACTTGGTGCTGAGTTTGAATAGTTCAGTGTTCAATACTGTAGAACACTCAGAAAAGAAGCAACTTGATAACTGGGACATAATTTTCATTAAATTATGCAAGAAATTCAACCTGTTGAACCAAGTGACCTATAGGACAGACTTCTTGCTTGTCAGTTGCATAGTAAAGTATAAAGTGTATTGGTAACATAATGCTCACAAGCATATGAACACATTTAGAAGCTGAAGCTCAGTAACATTCTTCAGTCTCTTGAGAATTGGTTGTTCCAGAGATCAGATGCGGATGATAATACCACTGTTTTGTTAACAAGTTTGACAAAGGTGGATGATTAAGGCCACTGTGTTGTGAAGACATTTGACGAGGGTGGATTGCGAAAGACTGTCATGTTTGGAGCATATCCCTACTCCTTGCATCAGTCTCGTAGTAGGGCAACAGTAAGTTAAAGGACATACAATGCTAAAATCCGAGGTTTGATTTCCCATGGTGGCTACAACAGATAGCCCAATGTGGCTTTGTTCTAAAACAAACATCCATAATCCACTTAGTATACAAGAATGATAGTTTCCAAGAGCCCATTACAGCAGTCTGGTTGCATAGAAACATTTAAGTTTTGCATTTGGTGACTTGACCAGTATG